TTTTAACAATCATCCACCTACACGTCATAGTCAGTCTGCTGACTACGCAGTCCTGTGAAACTGTGGAACAACTTATGCAATGAAGAATTCCCTAGTGGTTTTACCTCTCTTAGCTGGATTAAAAAATTTTTAAAGAATTTGTAGTCTCTCTTTTAATGAACGTCTTTGATGTGGAGATGGTCGATCTGCTCATGGTCAATCTCTCGCGAATGTTCATGTCACTAACTTGAATACGTATCATATAAAATTATGTATATATATATATTTTCTTTTTTTAATACTATTAGATTCCTATACAGTTAGACGACAATTTTACAATTACATTTTTCTAGAATTAGACTTTCCTCCTCCAACTAAATTTTACTTTTTTATATATAAAATTATTTTAAATCCTTATATTTTCCTAGGTAGGCACCCCGCATGGGTCTGAGTGTCCCGTTCGTGCCCATCCCTTTTGGGCTTTAATTTTTTATGTTTGTATATTTTCAATTTTTTTTATATATTTTATTTTTTCGAATTGATCTTGCCCAATAAAGGTTGACATAACTAAGTATCAGTAAATTGATATTCCTTTTACTTCAAGGTCTGGTTCCGCCACTATAGGACGTTTGATTAATTCTAGAATTAATATTTATCGTAATTATTCTCATACTCCTGGCTATTCATGTAAAAATGATGCCACATGCATACTTACTTGCCCTGTAAAACTGAAAAGTTTCAAAAGTTTTGATGTGAAAAAATAAAGTCCTCGGTTTAAGGGCGTCAGTACAAGTCAGTTATAACGAACATAATCAGGGCACCCTGAAGTCTATGAGATGAACACACTGAAAATTGCAGTTCAATGATCTGCCTCTTTTGTCAACGTAACAAACTGTTCAGCAATGAAACGAAAATGAAGATTTAGGACAATGTTGCATTTCAGAATCAAAGTGACGTGTTGAAAAGACAGGCCTTTGATAAAATTCTGGTTCAATATCGATTCTTACTCTCTTCGTATTTCATTAATTCAAAGGTACTGACTGGGTGTCAGTGAAGGAGATAGTATGATAGCGTTTTGACCCGGCAATGTGCGGCACTTGAGGCTTCAATAACTATAACATGTAAAATAGCGCGTTGCCTTGTTACGATAGCCGGGGTAAATTAAAGAACTCTATTGAGCTGAAGGTTAAGTAAGAGCTAATATAAGCTTAATGCTATCGTGGAAAGGTTCTCTTGACTATCACAATAAAAAGAAATATATGACCTACCGTTAAGATCTATTATTGTTTCAACAATGGTCTTCGGAACCCTTAAACGGTGCGCAATATCACTAAACTAATTCTGCGGGTTTCTGTTGAAAATTTCAGAAAAAGAAGAAGACAGAAGTGATCCCTGTTGTTTTAAAACGACGATCGAGAAACAATTAGCTCCAAAATGCGCTATACAGCTTGGAATCATTAAGCCCTTTAAACGACCCTTAAAAGTGTTCATTTTCGGGGAAATTGGAAATCCTAATTGTTTGAAAACGTGCCAAAGAGGTGGTGAATGCTTCCGAGTATTTGCAAACTAATATAATTTGACAAGGTTTGTAAATTGTAATTTTCTATTCACTGTACTCTCCAGTCGGTAAAGTGCTCGAATGAAACAAGATAGACGCTTTCATTAACATCTGGCAACACAAAAAAGAAAAATATTTTGACCATACCATTTATCTCGAACAATACATCATTAAACGAAAAAGGTTTCCGTGTATTTAAGTACTTTTGTTGACATTATCATTTTCTGCCAATTGATTCTAGTGTGCCTAATTATTTCAAAATATCGAAGCAGTATGAAATTGCCTTTACGACAAAGTAGGTAGCTTATTGGACTGGTATTTTTATCACTTTGAAGATTTAAGAAAGAGGAAAACATAATATTTATAACAAAATCGAGGGCAACATGATGATTTTAGCTATAACTGGGATCAAAAAGGGCCTTGCTGGAGAACTGGTCACAGATTTAAACTTACAAGTATTAAAACGGCATTTCAGTTTAAAAGGCTCAACAGAACAGATATTTATTTAGGCTAATGAATGCCACATTTAACTGTTCGACATTTTGAGGAACATGTTGTCATTACCGGTGCCAGCTCTATAACAAAACATTTGAGCGTCAATTGCGTTTAGATCAGCAAATTAATTTCTGTTCTTTAATTGTTACCCTGTATCTTATCGTGTCGACATGGATTTTAAATAAAGCCAACTCCTGCTAACCTATCAAAGCCCTCGTTTCTGCTGCAATCTGTGTTAGAGCAAGAACATAGAGAAATTTCAAACGAAAACGGACGTGATTAATTCGGACGTATCCACCAATTGAAGTTTAAGCCTTCCTAGGTATATTCTGTTTTATGATTTCATACACTCTGAGAAGTTTTTAAGGCTTTTCCTGATTGTTAAGTAAACTACAGTTCCCCATACTTAAGCCGTTTATTCTAAGTTGTACTTTAAAATGGTAGGCCATATTAAGGTGCATCGCATTCCCTTGAACTGATTCGATTTTTACAATGAAAAGGTAAAGGTCCTTAGAGTGCGTCGATAACTCCTAACCGGTACTTAAGTTGACGAACCTGATGCCGAAGGTGCGCTCATTTCAGTAACCTAACTCCCTTTCTCTTCATCAGTTCTCCGTTTTACGGCTAGTTGAAACTACTTTAAGTTACTCGGAGAGGAAAGAATTTGAAACAAGGATTTAAGGTCACACCTGGAAATAGAAATCGGTATCTGCCGCACAGAAAGCTGCGTTTTAACCTACTCTCAGGTCAGTCCTTTCTCCTTAAAATTGAATGAAGCCTTCATTCAAGTTCACAATATAAACGATATTTTATTCTATTTTGCACGCCCCGGAAATGAAATAAAGATTCCCATACTTTTATCCCAGAAAAGGAAAAAATTGTCGCGAATTTCTTGCACGGGTCTAATGAAAAGTTAAGTTCATTTAGCAAACATAAAAAATTAAGAAAGGTAAAATAGGGAAGACGCTCGATCAGTAGCACACCTAACACACCTATGTCACTTCATCTCCTATTTCCAATTATTTCACCTTATCTTTAACCATGAAATTCGTTTTTACAACTAAAGGAAGCGCAAAATAAGACTGTTATTTTGCCGGCTTCGCTGAAAAAGGAGCATGTTGAAGTTTTAAAAAGGCGTACCTTGAAGTTGATGGTAACTGAGGGAGTCTATGCAAGTCTTCATGCATGTAACTTGGTGTAGGCAAATTATTTAAGAAGTAGCACTGTTCATGTATTGCGGCTGCGATTATCAAAATCAAATATAAATATGTATCAAGTGTTGATCAAAGTATAATGAGGCATCATTCCTTCCTTTGTGCAATGTTACTATCCACATAAGGTAGTTTTCCATTGTATGCACTCTGACGACGCTTAGTTACAAAGAATCATTTAAATAAATAGGGTTTAGCTACATGACCATTTATCGTAAAACAATCGAGCGCTTTGTTAGAAGACCTGGATGAGTCAAGTATAGTGAATGAGTGATTTCGTTTCTTGTCACTTACTCTGATTGCCAAATTAACAGACACAGAGAAGTGTTTTGCAAGAAATGACGTACTCTTAGCAATATAAAAATGACTGCTCAGTTAGAATGCGGTAGTCATCTTCCGAGTGAAAGTGAGTGTGAAGGTGACTACCGTACAGGTTATCGCAACGTCAGTCACTGTCAACAAAAACAGCCCTATTCAGGACTACGTTCACCTGGACAATCATACTCAATCTACTTATGAAATGACACCTGGGTTCAAAATTTCACAGGGATTATGTACCCTTTTTAGGACAGAGAGGTCAAAAACCATACCCCGTCCAGCGGCACATTCCGGTATGGGCCATATAAGGGAGTATCCCACGGAGGGGCGTAGCTACATGTACTCACGTCCCTGCACGTGCACATCCCGAAAAAGCTGAGAGTAAAGTGTAATAAAACAAAATAAAATACAAAGATGATGGCAAAAAAGCGAGTAAACAAATAAAAGATAATTATTTTATAAAGCCCAGTCAGGAAACGGAAAATTAAATAACAAGCTGCAAAGGCGTTCTCTGTTTTTATGGGGTCGGGATGTGAGAATCGTAAGGAAAAAGTAGGGGATACAGAAATTGAGTTTTGTCCCGGACCGAACTCAAAGATAGGCCTATACAGCCACCCAATAAGTGGTTTGTGGTTGAGTTGCATTACCAAAGCCTTCAAATTAGAAGCAAGTATTCGAAAGATTTACCTTTTTCTAAGATATGATCAGAGGTTTTTTATAATTGAGTTACTTTCAGAAGACGCTGATTTTCTATTAAACTTCAATCTTCCAGCTGCGTGGTATCCTGGTGGTATATAGTCATTTTTTTTTTTTTGAGGGTCAAACAAAAATGACCTTTGACCTTTCAATTTCTTTTCAACTTATATGAGGTAGGATACCTGCGTGCTTCTAGGTGTAGTTTGAAGTTTGCGAGGTCCTCTACTCGAACCCTTGTTTCTAAAGAGTTTGTTTTCAATCTTGTTACTTCACCTAGGATTAAACCGGCATTCTTTACCCTGTAGGGCTGCAACTTACTAACGTCATTTCATAGACAATAAAACAAAACTTGAACAGCGGGAAGCCGGAGGGGGATTTGGGAAATTGTTTGTACCTCTGGAAAAATCCTCGCTCCGCGTCTGATCCGGGACCATTGCATAAGTTCTACAAACAAATCAGTGAAGGACAAAGACCTGAAAAATGGCTGTTTTGACGTTTTAATAACTCTCGATGACATTATCGTTGCCTTTTTTTGTTACTTTGTACTGTTCGGAGCAAAGGCTCCATGTCTTCCATGGTTTGTAACTCAATCAGATCAAGAATGTATCAAGGATTCTGATTGGTCACACTTGAAGCAGTTACAATTAAAATAAACTACCAGTTCTGATTGGATGATATGCGACGGGAGGCGACACGTGCGGCAGCCATCTTGGATCTTACACCGGTTTTTGCAAAACTTTAGGCTTCTTGAGGCTTCAAAATGTCAGGAACACCTCTTATAGTGCTAAGTACGTAGCATTTTCTGTTAGTGTGCTTTGTGATGTGCTGAAAACTAAACGCTTACCTTTTTTGTAGATCAAAACACAAGACGAGAATCTGGTCGAAAAGTACAACTTGGAAATGTCGAGGCAGCAAAGGTATAACGTACCCTTACTATTTTATTGTGATATTTAAAAACACTTGTAACACGAGAGAACAAAACTGCTTTTATGGCACTTGATTTTGTGACAGCGACGCCGTAAAGTACAGTTTATTAATCTGCTGGCTGTTTGTCTTCACAGACTGGTGTGTTGTTTAAACCACGCAATGTACGCTCTGCTCTTGATAATTCAGTGACAGCTTCTTATTTTATTTTAGACTATTGCAGACATTATTAGAACATGTTTAGGACCCAAAGCCATGCTGAAGGTTAGTACAGCTGTAAGATAAGATATGAGAGACACCTAATTGACTGCCCAGACTCCATGAGAGTCGTTTGAATTTTGATTTTAAAAGAGAATGGCAAAATCTGCCTAACTTTTACCTTTTGAAATGATTAATAAATCACAGTGTTCTTTATCAGTTATTTTACTTGGGTAGCCCCAGGGCCCCTTTTATAAGGGCCAGTAAGGAGAAAAGTATAAAGGGAGTCATTAAACTGTGTTTGCGGAATTCTCAAAGCTTGTTGTAAAATCAACATGTACAACATAGGTACTGATTGTAGTTGTATTCTTGGTGGGGTGGTCAGGGGCACTTTAACTAATATGCATGGTATGTGACCACAAAGGCCCTGGTGTTGTGTTTATCTGATGTCCCAGCTGTAATCTTCCACAGCTTTGTTTGAAAACATGGAGCCAGCGTAATTCAGGTATAAATGTATTGTGTCAAATGCAAGCCTCTTTTATTCGCTGTGCCTGCTGGAAATCTATTTAACAAGCAAAATGAAAGTAGAACTCAGTGTTGGTAAGACACAAGTGAATGCACAGTCTATAACTCCATTTAAGTCAAGTTAATTCAGGTTACATTACAGTTTCTTATATTTTATATGTTTTCAAGCATGTGGTGTTGCTTGGTGTCTGAGAGCTTCAATAATTTTTTGATTCCCTGTTGCATCTCAGTGACCTTTGGTCACCGAGCACCAATTGAATAACCAACTGATGAATAAGAAGGTTTCATGTGACTGTACATTTCATGTTGAACATTGTTACACATGATCTTTACCCACAAATACAGCCGTCTCTCCTTAGTTGATCCTCACCATTCGCAAGGCTACTTGCGTTAAAGTAATTGTGAATAAAATTGTTGAATTCAATAACAGTCTTGTTTACTGTGTTGTTCAATTTAATTTCCTCATTCATGATCCGCCATGATTCCCTCTGTTGATACTGGACATATTATAGAAGGCTTTCTTATTCACATACATGTATTATGAAAGTGGATCTCAACATCAATCACACCTCTGAGGTAAAAGCGCGTGTCACCCGCACTTCCTAACCCTTGGTTACTGCTAGTTTATTGTTTGCCCCACTGTAGTCATTTATCGGTGGTAATGACATTCTGACTTTGTCAATTTGCTGTGCCACATTGTTGCTAGTGATTAGAACTTTACAATCACTGGCAACAATATTAGCACCAAGGTCCAGCACAGCAAACTGACAACATTGCCTGATGAAGAACAGTATCACATGGTCAGAATGTGGCAGTCAATACAGAGTGACTATTGTGAGAAACTGATAATAATGATATTTCACCCTAACATACACAACTTATGCACATACAGCGACATATTGTCTTTCATTACATGCATATCAACATGCAACATGTAGCAGTTCAAGACTATTAACGATGATGGCATGGTTGGCATTATAAAGAAAAAGAGTTTCTTTTTGTTTTGTTCAAACCAGATGTTAATGGATCCAATGGGAGGAATTGTTATGACAAATGATGGAAATGCAATTTTGCGTGAGGTTAGGAATTCCTTGATTTTCTGTGCAATTTAATCATCCAATTTGTATTTATTAGTTGTGAAAACTGGCTCCTTGATACTGTGAATTGGCCTTTGTTTCCCAAGTGACCTTCAATTAGCAGTTGAGGTCACGTACATTTACAGTAAAACCCCTTTTATACATCACTGAGGGCTTCCAGCATTTAGGAGGAGGGAGGCTTATTGTCTTGGTTTATAATATTCTTAAAACCATGGGATTTCAGTCATTTTCTGATAGCAGATTTGGTTAATGTGTTCAATGCTTTTGTTTAGATTCAAGTGCAACACCCAGCTGCTAAATCAATGATTGAAATTAGTAGAACCCAGGATGAGGAAGTTGGTGATGGAACTACATCAGTTATTATTCTTGGTAAATTATGTTTGGATATTAACAGTTGTAGGGCATGTGTATGTACATGTGTAAATTTGTGAAGAAGGAACTTGTAGGAGAAACCATAACAAAGAGAGAATTGGAAAAATATTGGTCTATTTTTCTATGAACCTGACACCATTTTCATTCTGGTCATGTTAGTGTGCCACAAGTACAGACACAGTTCAGTCACGTGATCTAGGCTTTCAGTTAAAGACAGACCCTGGCTGCTGTGGTAGCTTGTAAACCACAAATCCGTCATGCCGTTATGGGGGCTGTTTTCTGCAATCAATGTTTTCTCTTACTAAATTTGGTACTAATCTGAATAGATGAAGAAGAGAGAAATTTTATTATATGCTATATTTTGCCCGATGCTCTTAATTCAGCTTTGAGAACCTTGCTGTTAAGTTCATAGTTCAATGTAAATAGCACATTTCTGTTTTCATCACTTCTTATATACTGTTATTTTTTTAATTGTTGTGGTAAAATTATTTCAGCTGGTGAAATGATGTCTGTTGCACAGCCATTCCTTGAAGATCAAATGCACCCAACAGTTATAATAGGTGCTTATAGGCAAGCCATGGATGATATGCTGGAAATACTAAGAGATCAAATTAGTGTTCCAGTTGATGTGGATAACAGGGAGGAAATGTTGAAGATAGTACGCAGCTCTGTTGGTACAAAGTTTGTCCATAAATGGTAAGTGTTTGAATGTATGTGATGATCATGTGTTGATGGGCTGTACTCAAACTAGTACCCAGTAAAAAATATTATTATTGTTTTTTGTCTCCCAACATAAGCTTTGGGAGGGAAAGAAAAGTTGACCTTGTGACCAGACTATAAGTCATCTTTTTTACTGAGGAAATGTACACACACTAACAACGACCATGTGACTTCTGTGATTAAAAGGAAAGTATCCAATCTTCCTTGTATAAATAGGTTTGTAAAATAAAAATATATAGGTGTAGATGTATGTTTTTCAAAAAAAAATTTTGATCATGTATTCTTACATACATGTATGTGCATTGTTACTTATAATAATATTTGGTCACTATAAAAGCCTCTTTTCTCTAGGAATTTCAAAGGTAAAGGATTTTGTGAGAGAACAATAAAACTACCTTTCCCACACAGATTTTATTGAAAAATATAATTGTCAACTCCAACCTTTAAAATATTTTGGACTTGTATCTTCCCTTAAACAAGTCTATAATAGCAGCATCACACAAAACCCTACTCTTTCAATCCCACAAGATTCACTTCTTACCTTATTCCTTAAGAACGCAAAAGGAACTAAGGTCGTCTACAAAAAAATTGTCTGTAAAAAAAGGTCTGCCCCGGTGAGAAGTCAAGCAAAATGGAACACTACGGTCTCCCAAGAGGGATGTGTTGCTGAATGGAACACAGCATATACCTTGGCATTCAAGTGTACTTAAAGCACGACACTCATTAATTTTCAGTATTGATTTCTGCATAGAATACTTCCCACAAACTCATTTCTGAAAAAGATTGGTATCAAGCAAGACCCAAACTGCTCCTGTTGCTGTACCACTGACGAAAATCTCGCTCATCTTTTCTGGCACTGTCCAAGCGTTCAAACTTTTGGGGAACTTTGACTGAAAAGCTTGCTGATTTCCACTTTATACCTGGAGACTACTCGATGGAAATTGCAGTTTTTTTTAGGCCTAAAGTCAGATACCTCCAAATTTTCTCTTCAGATAAACTTCTTCTTTCTTTTAGCCAGACACTACATCTGGGGTTGTGGAACCTGCAACAGGACCCCTCAGCTAAAAATGTTTTTGTATGTTTGTCTCAGCTAACTGCAATATTTTTATTTATTTTTTACTTTTTACTTAGGGGAGACCTTGCCTGTAACATGGCATTAGATGCAGTGCAAACTGTTGTTAGAGAGCAAGGCGACAGAAAAGAGATAGACATAAAAAATTATGCAAAAGTTGAAAAGGTAAATGGTAACTTTGACTCATTGATTCCTGGAATGTTTATGACGTTGCAGTTAATTTTTTATTTCACTTAATCTTTATTTTAAATTCATTAGCATACATTACCATACCCAAAAACAATGGAAAAATAAAAATTAACTACAACATACGCAATCAGCATGAAATTAACTACTGATCCCAACTTGTGGGTAACAAATTTAAGGTTCCTGGGGATGACCTGGAAGATTCTTTTGTTTTGTCTGGAGTAATGGTCAACAAAGATGTCACACATCCAAGAATGAGAAGGTAATAATCATAATAATAAAAATAATAATAAACTTTATTTAAGTGTCAGGTACTTTAGCTATGAAGCTAATTGGGGACACTATAAGATGCTACAGGGTGTTGCAAAAGTTTGTTCCGATTTTCTTTTTTTTGCTTAAACTTCAACGGTTACGAAAACTAGGTGTGTTATTTGTTATTCATTTTATATTGAGGATGGCCTCCTTTATGTTTTTTAACATTTTCTAAGCGGTGGGGTATAGAATGTGTGAGCTTCGTAAGCATGTAAAGTCTTAGGTCACATTTTTCTAGGCAAAGTTGAGTCGCCTTCTCAGCTTGTCCAGTGTTTTCCGGGCTAGATCTTTGTATGCTGTCTCGTCAGCGACACTCCAAATTTCAGATCAGGTGAGTTTGCTGTTGCAGTGGTTCTTTTGGTATAATGTTTGGCAAATTCTTCTGACACCATCTCTGAGCCGCTTCTGGAGTGTGTGCCGCTTCATTGGCTTGAAGTCTTTTCACCCTTTGTTGGTCTGAATAATTATCTCCGTACCATTGTGCTCAAAAATTAATTTTGATATTGTGAAGTTTGTTTTTTAGCTATATCCCTCATGTTAAATTATAATTATACTACTAAATAGGTTTTTTGATTGAATTTCTCGAAAGTTCCTCAAAACAAACGGCTCTCCACTCCTTGGTTTGTCTTCTTAAGACTTTCTTTTTGACTACTTTGTTAACCCTTTGTTCAGTCTTGTTCAACGATTTGGAAATTTCTTTGACTTAATGACCAGATGACTGTAAAAAGCTGCCTGAGCTCTAGCACAAACAGTTTTGGGCTTTATTTCCATGAAAGAGGGGAGAAAATAAAAAAAGGGCAAAAATACAAAATAAGAAAACCTACAAATGGGCAGGAAAAATATGGCGGGAAAAAGCAGGCACGCATACACATTTGGTGCAAAATTTCAAAAACACCATTATTTCTTCAAATTTTAGTTTGAAATCGCTTTGAACTGTTTTCTAGATAAATTTCTTAACTGAATCAGTTTAAATTTGCCTATAGAAGCATCAAATGCTGTATACTAAATGCAATTTTCAATCAGAATGAACTTTTGAAACATCCTGTATAGGTAATTTTTTCATGGCTGAAAATTTGATCTGCTTGTTAACAAAGTGTACTGTCTCCTTTTCTGATAACCCTTTGGACACTCCTAACAGTGCCTAAAGTAAAAATTCCCGTTTAAGAGATGGTAGGGTCGAGGTTTAAGGAGGTCTAACCAGTCAAGACATTAGAGGTGTTCAGAGGTATGCCTTGAGCAGCCCTTACACTTCTTTCTAGCAATATCCCACTATCCGTAACTTGACGGTTGCATTGCATAGCTGTGGCATTTATCATTTCATTTACAAATAAAATATCATAAAAAAACTGACATGAGTAACAAAATCAGTTGGTTTTGTTACCAAAACTTCATTTCATTTAACCTACCATCTGACAAAAGTAATAAAATTTTTGTTGTTCCACCTAACCTTTAAAAACTAAAAGAAAGATGTGCAACAAGCTCATAATTAATTTTGTTTATACCCATTCTTTGTTGCTACCCTGGTAACCTCAGTCCAAGGGCCCCTCTTTCCCTTGGAAGGAGTTTGCTCCAGGGCAAGCCCTAGGATTTCACTGTAAGGATCATTTGTGGTATCGTGTCATTACCATGGTCTTAAAATAACAAAACCAAAAAGTAACATTTTCACAGTGAGGGATCAACTTACAGAAATTCATTATTTTCACCAGCAGAGCAGTTTTTTGGTTCTTTCTTGGCTTAAAAACAAAACTAAAAGGTTGTTCAGCATCTATCAGTTTTCTGTTTTCTGCTATCTTTAGTCATTTCAAAAGTGCATTGAACATTACTGGTTTATGGCTTCCACTGCCAAGAAAAAATATATTTTGGAGCCATATCTTGATAACATGTAGGAGGTGGGATCCCATAAATTTTCACGGAACCAAAAACTTGTTACAGATGGTTTCCCATTATCTCTGGGCATGGAACTGACAAATTGTTTTCCTTGGGATTTGAAATCTTAGGCTTGCAGGGTATGTTTGCATTAGACACAAGGCCTCAGTTAAATTTGTATGGTTTCAGATGGATTTCCCATAATCTGAACATATCAGTACATGTACTTTGTAACTTAATGTTAAAAAGAAAGAAGTATTATTAAAAGTGACCCGTTATGTGTTTGTTTCTCTTCATAGGAGAATAGAAAATCCTAGAATAGTTCTTTTGGATTGTTCCTTGGAATACAAAAAGGGAGAAAGCCAGGTAAATTGCCGTATTATGCTTTAATCTGTGCTTCACTCTCATGTTTGTTGCAAAATGTTTGTTGCACACATTTTGTATCACATCTGTTCTAGAAGGTTTGTAGTTACATGGGTATCCTTAGCTTATGATGATCACCAAAAGGATATTTTTGCATACATGGGTATATGCCCAAGACGACTGTTAAGTCCTATTGTACATCAAGCACAGGTGTATTGCAAAAATTAAGTCACGAAAGACCTGCCACCAATTGCCTGCGGTTTCCAAAACGGGTGATTCATGTATTGGCTTTGCCAATGGCAAGGGAGATTCTTTTGTAGCACTCCTTACATGTATGTTCCAACTGGTGATCTGTTTCTTGTATTGACTTTTGTGCACAAGTGAGATGCTTTAGTAATTATTTCACTATTATCCAACAATGAATGTTTTTATTGCCTCACTCTTCTTTCCTTGTATAACACATTTCCTGGGTTCATTTTTACTACACTGCTACATTACGGTTTTTGAAGAATGTTTAATTTCAATCACTTACCATTTTTCAGACAAGCCTCGAAATTTCACAAGAAGTGGACTTCAAGTAAGTAGTGATTTTTTAGTACAATGAAGGCCAAAAGAACTTGGGACTGTGTGAAGAAAAACCCTTCCAAGGACTCTGCTCCTAATGACAATTTTTTGATCGGCTTTGGGCTCATCCCGTCGTGGCCCCATCCCCCCCCCCCCCCCCCAATGTTGTGGCCCCCCATGTTGTGCAAAATTCAACTTTGTTTGGGGTGGGAGGGGAGGGGAGGTTTCTCTATTTTTACTAATATCACTGGAAAGGTCCCAACACTTTTGACCTTCTTGTGTTTGTAGAGCAGTAACAAACAAAGAAGAAGAAAAGTATTTTTAGAATGTGAAGTAATTGGCATTCTGAAAATTAATTATTGTCAAACATTTAAGTAAGCTTTGAGTGTTGAAATTCTTGTTGTACCATTGGTTAAACCCTGTATTGCTTCGTGTACATTTAGAGTGATTAATTTTATACATCCAGAAACTCATAAGGGGCTGAACAACCCCTTATGAGTTTCTGATACATCTTAATATAATGTTTCCTGTCAGAATGTCAGTCAAAAATGATTTGTTACCAGTGATAATTTACATCCATTTGGGTTAGCATCTTTCCTGCCATGCCTAGAAACTAAGTTAGTTCTGTCATTTTCAGTCGTGTTCTTCAGTTAGAAGAGGAGTATATTCAGCGAGTGTGCAGTGACATCATAGCAATAAAACCTGACGTTGTGTTTACAGAGAAAGGGGTGTCAGGTATGTAAAGTTCAACACCAGATTAAATCCATTTCAGCATTTGCCCTTCCCCTAAGGAAATAAATGATACACTCTTTGAAGAGGTCACCTCACCAGAAAAATTTGAACTGGTAGTCACAATTTATTTTCCCCTTTCCTGACATTATAGACCTAGCACAGCACTTCCTTGTAAAGAATGGTATAACAGCTATACGCAGGATTAGGAAGACTGATAACAATCGTATCGCACGTGCCTGTGGAGCAACAATTGTGAACAGAACTGAAGAACTGAAGGAAGAAGATGTGGGAACACAAGCTGGATTGTTTGAAATAAAGAAGTTTGGAGATGAGTAAGTGTGGGTTTAGTCAGTTGCATTGCTCTTACCGGTGTCTGGAGTCAATGTTCAATATTTTTTGTTGTCAGGTACTTCTGTTTTGTGACAGAATGCAAGAATCCCAAGGCGTGTACCATCCTACTCAGGGGAGCCAGTAAGGATATCTTGAATGAGGTAATCAAAACTGTGCACATTATTTTAAGGGCTAATATTTTTACAATATAGTTAAAATTAAAAGTGCAAGACTTGTGTGATCTGAAGGGGGTGACCATAACCTGAAAAAAATTCTAGTGCAAATAAATCATCCTCCTCGTATATAGCTACATGGAAACTAATATGAAGACCAGTGAACCGGTGTACATGTAACCTGAGCTACAGTAGTGTGCTGCTATAATGACCATGGTTTGTTGTGTTATGTTAGGTGGAACGTAACCTTCATGATGCTATGAATGTAGCAAGGAATGTAATGTTGGATCCCAGGCTGGTGCCCGGTGGTGGAGCTGCAGAAATGGCCCTTTCTCATGTAAGTAACCTACAGTGGTCATCAGTCGGCCTGACTGTGTTACGCTTATGATATGCAAGCAGGCTAATGCTTCAAGCTTTTGTCCTTGTCTTTTCCGCCAAAAATGCAAAAAGCCGTACGGAGGTAATCATAGCTAGTATTTATCTAGCTACTCATTTGCTTAAAAATAGCACAGGGTTATGGTATATACAGCTGTATTAGTATGTACGTGATCTTTTCTGTTAGTGTATTTCAACTATCGTTGACTGTGATGAGGTATTTCTGTTTGCTTATATGTTGACTGACAGGTACTAACAGAAAAAGCTAAGTCGGTAGCGGGTGTTCAACAGTGGCCTTACAAAGCTGTTGCTAAAGCTCTAGAAGTCATTCCACGCACTTTGATCCAAAACTGTGGTGCTAACACGATCAGGACTCTTACAGCTCTCAGGGTAAGCTGCTCATCCTACTCATCACTGCCGATGTTTTTAGCAGCTTATTGCTTTAGTAATAAGTAATAAAGATATTTAAACAGGGAGCTCACGTCAGACGTGGTTTTCAGTGGGACCCTGCATCAAATTAATTACAAGTATAATAATGCCTAAATATTGAAAGGTTAAAAACGTCTTTGGCTATCGCTTTGTTGTAATTTTTTTGGTGTTAATGCCCCTCTCAGGGCTCAGGAATCAAAATGAGATGTTGTCTAGCTTGAAATTCTCACTTAAACTGGGTGATGTTTTCGTCTAGCAGATTATTTGAAAAACAATATTTTTGACATTTCTGTGATATTTTTGCAGGCAAAACACGCGGTTGAAGGTAACACATCCTGGGGTATCAACGGTGAGACTGGTGAAATAACAGACATGAATGAACTTGGTGTGTGGGACACGTATTCTGTCAAGGCGCAGACATTCAAGACTGCTATTGAGGTAGCGGCCCTTAGATACACATAGATAAACAATTGACGGATAGCGTAGAGCAAACTCGTCCCCATGGCTTTTCCCGCGCCGCTCCTTTAACGCGGGCGGGAAAACCTCTGGTGACGAGGTGTAGCGTATTTTAAAAAAGCTTTTAAAATTGGGAGAGATTAAGTGATTGAAGAAAAGTACGCTTTTTTAGCCGTAGCCTGCGAGTAAGTTCTCTGTTGCGCCCTCCTTTGTGTTATTTGCGCATACTGTGTTTCGGGTATTTGATTGAGTTGTCTTTTGTTATTTCTTCAGACCGCCATGCTTTTACTGCGTATTGATGACATCGTATCCGGAACAAAGAAAGCCAGCGGTAAAGAAGGATCTCAGTCAGGAGCGGCTCCTACTACAGGGCCGCCGGCTGATGACTAGACATGTCCTGAACACACCCTACACCAACTTCGGACCTTACGCCAGCGCTTTTTCGATGACTTTTCAAGCTTACACGAAGCTTGTTTCTGTCAAAATAAGCAGACTGACTTGCAAAAAGCCAGATCTTAGCATTGAACGATTTACAGGTTTAGTGTATGTTTGTTTCCAACATTTTAGGCTTGGAGTAGCACCCTACTTGGCTTTCTGCAATGTGAAAAACTAATGTACTGCTGTATCTTTCAGAATATTCAAATAACGGTTACTTTGGCGCAGCTCAGTCACATGATTTTGGCCTTGGGAATAAAATTATGTGCCGATAGATTGTGATCAATTCATAACTAAACACATTAATTTATACATCATATCCTCTATCATATCCTTGGTCGATGTGAGGCTATTGCAAAAAAAATGCTTTTGGATTTGAAAGACCATAAATGCTGGATGTCATGGAGAAAGTGCTTTTATTCTGTTTACATTATAGTGTACAGAGCGTGAAATCTTATGGGCGATATTAATAAACCGAATACATTGAAGAGGATGTCGTGTGTCATTTTTTTATACCGTAACCGATCGATTTTATGCCATGGTTCTCTTTGTTTATCACTTGCGGTGGAACGCGCGCTACGGTTAACCGCGGCAGGGTTAGCTTAGCCGGGACCGGACCAATACTCAGAGTCTTAAAATAACTGAGAAATGAAGGTACTCCCTTTGCCCTGCCCAAGCTAAAATTGTCCTTGTAATCGGTCCCTTTGTGCTTGAAACGTATGGAACCAACATTTAGCCCTTCACCACTGGAACGTAAGTCTTTCGAAAGCTTCACAACAGACAAAGATAAGAACGATTTTATTGAAAAACATGAATCCATTAAGCTTTCTAGCAGCATCTAACTAGAAATATTGCCCGGAAATCTGTTAAAAACTGCAATAATAAAAAGCTATTAACCCTATTCGCCTTCCCTTATTTTCTCGTTCTCAGCTAACTATCAAACACATTAGAAGAAAATTACTAAAGCGGTGAAAAAAAAAAATTATACTGTCCATTGTGCACTGTCTTGTGGAATCTACGCAAAAAAGATTAAAAATAATTTATTAATTGATTTGACAAACCCACAATTGATATCTCATCCCAATGTAAATGTCTCAACAAATTAAGGGCAACATGTTACCCACAAGGTGCCCGTAGAGACGCCAGTTCACTTTTATATCGCTAGCTACATATTCTAATACTTTAAAGATAATAAATACTGTACAATTTAATAAATAGAATTAAATTCGCAATATTGTTCAAGCTGCAAATGTTTCTCCTCGTCATCTGTTTTCTGTCTGGAGATAAAGACATTTCTAGGAAGTGAGCACATCGGGGCCACACCCCCTCCTTATTCCGCGTCAGTTTCATCCCCTATTTAAATGATTAGGTTGTTTGCACGACGATCAGAGGCGTGTTCATTAGCCATCGATCCTCTTCAACCGGAGTGAAGGGTCTGTTTTCAGCACCTTTTGCTCTTTCTGTAGACAAAACAAATAGAAAGGTTCTTAGGAAGTTTTACCAAAAGTTTAACTCAAGTATTTGAATACCATTTGATTTTCACGAAAAGTTTTATTTCGCGGATTGTTTCAGTTGTTTGCGGATTGTTTCAATTCTTTGCGTTTCATGGAAACAAATCTTCGTGAATCCGTATTTTTTTTTCTCACCCAGGCCAAGCCTTTTCGCCCGCTCCACTTAGGAGGCTAGGTCGCAACAGGGTTGACAACGTTAAATTTATTAAAATAGACTATATTTCGTAATATTTATTTCACGGGGGATTATTTTTATGGGATCCGCAGTTTTTGGCGTATTGCTGGACAATCCCAGAACAGTGATTTCAGAGAGATGGGGTGATTCAACGTACCACTTCAACATCTGAAGGAATTCGTGACAAGAAGTCCATGAGCTCGTTGTTGTCGACAGCATTTGGTTTACGGATCTTTTTCGTGAACTTGTTTATTCCTGGTCACAAACAAAACAGTTCAATATAAATAAACAAGGCAACTTGTGCTAAACAAAAGGTATTGTCTCCCACTGTGCGGACTGTTAATGATCTGATTTTCAGAAGGTTTGCCACATGTATCTGAGATAACATGGCCTCTGGAGCTGCACGGATTGGATAGGGTGGTTTTGCTTTCAGCGCGCTGCCCCAGGATGAAGCCACCAAGCAAACCCCACCCCCCTTCCGCCGTGCCTTCATTTAACGCGCTAGTGGTTTCGCAGCCTAAACAAAAGACATTAAGAGCCACAATTGCTAGAAACAGAGAACAAAAAAGAAGGGTATCTGAAGGGCGTGTTTAAATTAACGCTTCACATCTTTGCATAAAAAAAAAAAATAACAGAATCAATGCAAAAAAAAAGGCAGCGAGCTGCTCTAAAGGACTGAGAAATGTAAAACAGAATAAGGCATTGAAGAGTAAGTGGAAAAAAAACCTTACCCCAGGCAAGCAACAAGAACTTGAGAGGTACAAGGTATAGCACAACTGTTCCTAACGTGAAGATGACACACATCAAATACGAACAAAATGGCACCGTCCAGTTAAAAGTGCTGCAAGGAGAAAAAAAAAAACGTTTGGTAAGAAGTCACATGTACGCTGAATATCAACCGCTAACATATACAGCACAAATAACATTTGAACGGATTGTTAGGTTCTGTTTGTCAAGTTCTTACGTTCTTTTCATTTTGAAGGATATTAAGCATTGCTTTCTAATCCTTGTGTTCTTCAGGTATTTTTCTAACATCTGGGTGTGGTTTATAATTTTACCGAAACTCTTTATCATACAGTCGACTTACTTTTTCACCCTTTCGCCCATGGAGGCCACCATATCAAGAGCGTTTTGCACAGTCTGACAGATGGATGTTAGCGCTGCTATCTTCTCTTTGAAACTCTTTCCTTTGTCCTGTAAGGCAAGTAAAACTCCTCAAGTCATTCTAGTTAATATTAAATTAAAATTTGTTAAGCTTTTCCAGGCAGCGGACGTTGCACTGGGAGAGTTTGCGTGCGAACTTACCGTTTGTTTTCCACAAACAATAACTGCCAAAAACTATGCTAAATTTGCTTTGCTACACACTTTTAGAATATAACAGGGAAATGAAATTAAAAAAAAGACAAAGGGATAGAGTATACGAGAAAGGACATTTGCGGCTGGCCCAGCACCCATCCAGTTCCAAAGTCAACAGAGCATAACTTAGGTCGCTTTAACCCCAGTAAGATCCCCAAGGTTTAGCAAGACACTCACTTCAAGTGCTTAATTAAAACGTTAAGAGGTTGTTGGTGTTAAGTACAGTTGACTGCGGTTTATTTGCGACAGTTCTAATGTCCTACCCCTTTCTTTCCTTTATCTTCCTCTTCATCTTCCAAGTCATCATCATCGTCTACTGGCGCTCCTTCCTGTAGTAAAAAAGGATAAAATCATCACGCGTGTGTTTATTGGTGAGATCAGCTGTGCGATATCAAGAGAAAAACTCGCTTGGAAATATCATGATAAAAATTTCCAGCAAAGCGCCATAACAATCCTACTTTCCCCGGAGGTTCCTGCCAACTGCTACATGAAAGATTTTCAAATTGCAGGAAAGTACTAGTTTGTACCACCCCAGAACATCATGTTCGACTAACGACGGTGATTTACTCCATTAACAGTGGTTATTAGAAAAACACTCAGTATAATCCCAGGCCAGTACGACACTACAAAAAGTGGATCTGTCACTTCAAGAGGAAGCCCAAAAAAGACCTGAAAAAACATGACTCAAGTTCCACATTTTTTCAAAAACTGATGAATATGAGTACGCCGCACCTGTTCTTCAGGGTTCACATTTCTGTCTGCAAGTAACATACACATCACATACTGCTTGAGGAACGTTAGTAGGAGGGTCAGCGGTATAATGTAGAAGTCAAAGTTCAGGCATAGCATAATGTAGATCTGAAAGGCAAAATCAATGGATCTCGTAAAACGCGCGTAAAACAGATACTTGTGGATGGATAAAGGAGATTAAACCAATATACTTACTGCAAAAGCAAAAGCACTCCTAAATTTGTACTGCCACGTAAAAAGCGACTGGACAAATGCCCCAGTCGATACCAGACTTGCAACAAGTTTGTTCACGCGGTCAATATTACGCTGCAACAACTGAAAACAAAAACACGTGAAAAACAAATGTTCATCAAAAAGAGAAAAAAAAGGAAACCGCATGGTAGACAATGGAATTCAATCCGCTTTTTCACTACCGAATTAAAGTTTCTGCGAGAAGAAGATTCAAATAAGCTCAAAACGCAATTCCTTACCGCTCTCTTGAATTTAGGTGGATCAAACATGATCTTAGGGTCCCTTGGATTGACTGTCCTAACCGCAGCCCGTATTGGATTATAATCCACATCAAGGGTAAGAATAAGGTGACCCTTGACCCTGCCTTCCAAGCTCTTATTCTTTAACTGGTACAAACGCTTCTCACCGGGGGTAACCTAGGGATAAATGTAACCATTATAATAGTCTTTTAATCAGTACCGCAATTCATTCATTCGATTGACTTTTGGGTCTTGAAGAATTAATGGCACCTTATCTTCTTTTTTCTCATGTACATGTAGTTTGCACCCGCGATTTTAGCCATGCTATTTTCGGGTGACGATTGTAATACAAACAGTTGTTGTACATGTTAAGTTGTTGCTGAAAAAGTATTACCGTATTTATTCGAATAAGCGCCCAACCTCGAATTAGCGCCCACCGCGAATAAGCGCTCATCTTAAAGGCAGAAAGAGTTAATAAGCGCCCAGCCTCGAATAAGCGCCCACCCCTCCTCCTCCCAATCAAACTCAAATAAGCGCTCACCCCCACCCGACCCACTTGAGTGAATAAATTCTAATAAGAGACTTCCCCGAGGACGGAATTTTCTTCAGAGTATTTTACAGAAACATTGCTTTGTTACTTCTTCGAGTTTTGTCATTAGCATTTATTGTTTTGTTACAAAATAAACATACTTCACGTGCTGAAAATGGTGAAAATTTAATAAGCGCCCAGTCTCGTCTAAGCGCCCACCTCGAATAAGCGCCCAGTCTCAAGGTCCAAAAATTTAATAAGCGCCCAGGGCGGTTAATCGAATAAATACGGTAAAGTTGAAGTTAGGAAAATTTCGCTTTTTTCAAGATCATATTCATTTAACAAGTGGCAATTTCAGACTCGATGTCTCTACTGTAAAAATTATTCCAATAAGGAACCCAGTCGGTTCTAGTCTCATACGCCAATCCCTAAGTCACTAGAGCGGTACAGCAGATACCTTGTAAATGATTAAACAACTCTCTATAACTGCCTTAATTTACCTGTAGTAGTGGAATGACTACTCGGCCAAGAAATTCGGGGGCGCCTCTCTTGTCCTCGTCAAAAACAGTAATGTCTAGAACGTCGTGAATATCATAGACAGTCCTGCGAAAGACGGTAAAATATAAAATTAGTTTATTTACTTCGAGATGGATGATTACATGAGGTCATGGTGAAGCAGTTCAAGTCGAGTATGGTTGAACTTACATTTCATAGATTTTGTCCCATGCAGGGTTAAGAGTCTTGTACAAAGTTGGGGTGACTAGACGCTGGTTATTAAGCTCAATCACAGCAAATGGATCACTGGTTCCTCCAATGTCAGCTGAAGCCAGTCCAACAGCACGATGAAGTTTCACCTGTCATGAAGAAACAAATTTTTACACTACAATTTTATTCTCTGCACAAATATTAGTTAAAGCAATAATACAAGATACAGCTATAACGTAATTAACCCAGAGACCTGCGTCCTGAAGCGGGACTTACTCCTCAAACCACAAGGGTTCCAGACTCACAACTGCCTAGTGGAAGTCACATTAAATGGATTTGTATGGGAATTTATCGTACGGTCGATAAACGGTTAAAATCTACACAAACAGCTAATTAAGTACACATACCTCACAAAGAGCTGTGTCTGTGTTGTTTTCTTACTGTTTCCCGCCCTATAAACGCTATTTTAGCAAATTTTAGTGTTTTGGTTTCTCACCTACTTAGAATTCTTCAGTGCAATAAATTCCCATACAATAGGCTGTTGTGAGTCTGGAAACCCTGTGCTGAAACGATCAAGATCAAGAGGCTCACTGATATTTCAGATTTTTCTCTAACTCGATCGAAGGGAGATTGGAGGGGGGAATTAAATAAAAACTACTAACTATAGATGAGGGTTTACAATGTACAGTGCTCAAAGGCTTAATACAAACAGGGCGGGTGCAGTACATCAATAGTAAGTTTTGCTTCACCTAATCCACAATATTTATTACCTGAAGCCAACCAACTTCTTTAATCTTCTTGGGTGTATTCTTTAACATGAACTGTTTAGCGACCTCTTGTCGTCGTCCAGGTTTCTCTATAAATGTATTTAAGTCTGATTCACATCCCGGTGCGTCCAATCCTGTAATGGATAAGTGCATTACTATAATCCCTGCATTATCCTCCAGTGCTGCCTCGATTTTATGCGACTTTTCCCGTTCGAGTGTTGATAGATCAATCTGACACCTGTCAATCAGAAACAGATGAGTAGATTTTCAGGTTACCACTCAGAGAAACCAGGTTTTCCAAAAAAACTCTGCACAAGTTCTAAAGACTATGGCATCTCTATTTTCTTATGGAGGTCCATTTTAAAAGGCTGAGGTTGGCAGGGAAAAACACTACGTAACACTATTCACGAAATTCAACTTCATGGGACGTACACATTGTGAAGCATTTGTATTGTTGATGTTACTTATTGCCAATCGTCTTCAGGTTTTTGGAAATCTTATCTAGCCGTTCTTTTTTTATTTTCGTTAAATACGGTTTTGGTGGCTATCAAACGGATATTTTGATTTTACCCACACTCATTTATGGTCGTTGAAACAATAAAAATGTATGGAAAGGGAGTACTTTCTGCTTTCTTTACTTTCTTTTTTTTTTTTTCAAAAATTCCCTCAAGTGGACACGATTTTTAAAAACATCTAAATACAAACCCCCTCACTTTCAAGCTATTTTATGAGATTTATGTAACTCCTCCGATTCATTGTTTATAAGATTCCTTCATCTTGAATGGTCTCCCTGGTCTAAACAAAGATTAGGGTTCCTGTGCAGCATCGTCTGAGAAAAAGTATGCTGTTTTGTGGATATCAATTCACAGAGGAACAAACATGAGAATAATAAACATTTTACCTTCCCATGAATTCATCTTTTCTAACATCTCTGTCCCACACGGTCACCTCCAACATCATGGGAGAGTCAGGGTAGATCTTCAAGTCAAACTGTTCTTTCCACTGTGGGCTTAGAGTCTCTTTGCAGGCTTTTGTTTTGTACTTTTCATTTCCCAAACGGAAACGACAGTAAGGATCACTAAGACCTAAAAATTAAAAAGTTTTATTTATGTTAGTTTTGTTAAAACTCCAGTGCAATGCAAGAGTATTATGTATCTGAAACAGAATGGCTGCATAAAGTGGCATAACTACATGTGTGAACAGATGTACAGGTATAGTCTCCGACAAGAGATCTTGGACCGCACGTTTAAGTACAGCAATTCACAACAATAAGTTTTTTTACTTTATTACTTTAGTTTACAAAATTCCAGTTTCTTGCTTTGTAACCGTTTGATCAGTCAAGTTGTCCTCTCCTCACCTGAATCATCCATGGGGATCATTTTTTTGCCCTCTACAAGAATAATGGACACCAGTCCATCCCACAGTTGTCCTTTGCCAGGTTCTTTAGGAGGCTGGCCCTTCTTTGAAGTTGAAGCTCTTTTAGAAACCTGCAAGCAAAATAATTTTGGAAAAATCAATAAAAGGACTGGACTTAAATTGAAATGAAGTCACTAAAAATTCTGAAAATTATTCACACAAAAAAAGAAAGGCTTGCAAAATCCAGGAGAGGCTAATGAGGTGCAAGTCTCCATCTGGTGAATAACATCCATATTTGTACCTAAGCAGCAAAACCAGCCACAAAAAGAAGCTGTCTTGTTTGGCTTAATGACAAGCCTTGTCTAAAGAAAGGAGAGAGCCAAGCTAAGCTGTTCCCAAGCTTTACCCATATACCTGCACTCAAGCATGTGTGCACTATACCATAAAAATCAGTACAATTAACATAAATTATAAATTCTGTGTCAAAGTAATTACAAAGCTGTGTAGAGCTGAGGTCTAGGGCCTTTACTCCTCGACTTCACTTTTCCAGGAAATACCCTCTAAACAGTTTTTATGGATAATTATGTGTTATATTTACCTCTTGCCTGTCCTCAAAATTCTTTGGCTGAACAGTAAAGATTGCACAAATCTGACCCAACTTTTCTTTTCCTCCATCAGGGTCCTCTAGGTCAAGGATCATTTCTGTAGGTCTGAGTTCATAAATATTACATTATTAAGAAAAAAAAAAAGGGAGGATAAGCACAACTGTGTTTGCTCAACAACTTTCAGATACAATGGTACATGTAGCTCAGGCCAGTTTGGCACACACAACCATGTCACAAAAGTGAAGTACAGGTACACATGTACTTAAAACATTTTACTGTCAAACTCAGAAAACCATGAACACTTGAAATATTTCAGGTCCAATATTGATTGTGTAGTGACCAATCACATAAAGTTCAGGACATGCAAGCAAACCTCAAAACCACAAACTAATTACAGTTGCTCTTTGCAGTTTAGTTATCTCACGCCTTATTGGCTAGTATTTCCTCGCAACACAATAACATTCCACAAATATTTCTGGTGCTCACAGTTTTGTGAGTTTCACAGTAAACCTTTTAATGCTTGCATTTTTTTCTCTTTTCTATTGCTATTTCTATGAATGCATGGCTTTAAAACAGCTTTTAAATAGTGAAACAGCACCCCAATGTAACTGTACGTTCTATCAAACAAAGAAATATTATTTTACACACCTACTAGTGTGTATCATAAAATAAAGATAAGGGGTTTAAAATAATAAGGAAACTTACTTCTCAATTTCAATTGCTGACAAATCCACAACAGCTCTTCCCATTGGATCATCATTGCCAACTCGATCAAAATCAAGTACTTTTAAGATAAGAGGAACAGTTATATCTTCAATAGGTACACAGAATTTCTCATTCCACTGAGGATTTAAGTTCTTTTGCACAGTTCTACTTTTGTATATCTGTTTTCCATCAGTTTTAAATTTCACATAAGGATCACTGGTGCCTGTAAAGAAAAAAATAAATATCTATATTGATAAAAAGTTTTAAAACATGTTTTAAGCAGTGTCTTCACTAGACTCCACCATTGCGGGATTCACGCATTTTTTAGTGAAATGGCGCACTAAAAAAGTCTAAGGGCCCTCAGGGTGCAGAAATGTAGCAACTTAATTGAAAAGTCACTTTTGGTTGTAAATAGGCAATCAAGTTTTTGACTGCTCGGGGCAGGAATATGAGTTTGATTATATGAGCAATATTTTATTGTTGTTTTCTATCTAGTACGACTATAAACAACAATATTTGGTTAGGACATTTGGTTTTATTCCAGTGTTTGTAGTATTACACAAATTTCAGTTGGAAACTTCAAACTGAGAGAACTCTTGTGACCCATAATTTCTTTGTTTTAAATGGCCCAGACGCTTCAACGCCTGGTGTCATTAGGCCACAAATCACAAAATTCTGGTGAGAACACTGTTTAAGAAATGAATGATATCACTAAATTGTCATAGGTGTTAAGTGTATAAGGCCTTAGTAAGCAGTTTAGGTTTTTCGCATATTAATAATATTTTATTTATTAACACTATTATAATTTATGAAATTTAAATTTAAATTTATTGTTTATAAATTTGAAATACATTGTATACTATTCATTACATGTAAATGTTCTTATGTTAATGAAGTCAACTGAACTGTTACATTGAAGAATAAAAAAAATTTAGTGTAACCATTTTTATGCAGTCACTTAATGTTATGTGAAGTAATGTTTATTTTAACTATTTTAAGAAAAAAGTTTATCTTTTTATGTTTTGTTTAGGATTAAATCAAACCTGGTGCCCTGGTGATAGGTTTAGTAACTGGCTTTTCATGAAGAAATTCCACACTAAAAGAATCTAATAAAATGACCACAGTTAACAACATTTTAAATGCCACGAGAGAGCCACCAGCTGCAAACTAATAATAGTTTAATGCACACATATATAGTCACATGCTGAGTGTTCATTTTTAAAAAATAATCAACTCTGAAATAATCAAGCCCTGGAAGAAAAGATAAAAGTCCATTTCCAATCTGTTAATGACAACAGAAAATCTCTTATTCATGGGTTTTACTTCAATGTACTTGCAGTCGTTGTTCTTCAAAAAAGAAAGTTTTTTGTAAGAATATCCAAACAAATTACTGTCAACTTTCATAAAGTAAGAACGAAGACTTGATGTTTTAAATTCAGCACCTTTAAAAATTATAGCAACTGTAAATACCATTAGTAAAAGCATTTAATTTTGGCTTATTAGTGTTGTATTTATTTAAAATATTTAACTTTATGACATACCAAAACAGGAGACACCTGCTAAGAAAACTCAACTTTAAAACAATATTAGTGAAATAAATATTCAAAACTCAAGAGCATTATCCTGCTTATAATTATGCTGAATTTATCTGTATTACTTCATTAAATTGTTATTATTATTATTATTATTTGTTATTATTCTTTCCATTATTACCCTGTATTAATAATTTATTACTATTATTATGACAAACTATTACAAAGTTACATGTTAAAAAAATTACAAAGTAGCTTGATTATTGCAATAATAATTGGTCGAACTGGTTTATGTGAATATGAAAAACTTTGCTTGAATATCTGTTACAGGTCAAAATTAAATTCATGACGTTCACTTCTTTTAAACTGATTGATTCTCAATCTCCTTTGTCTCCTGGCCCTAATTCATGAATGATAAGGGCTATGAGACAAAGGAAATAGAGAATCAATCTGAGTTTCAAAAATTTTAAACTGAATTTAATTTTGACCAGTGAAATTTCGTATCAAAACTGAGAGAAGCATGAATTGAGACTGTGATGTCAAGTTACGCAAAAGTTTCAGGTTTTACCTTGGTAACCTGTGAACCTTTTTCTTTGTTTTGTACCTTTTGTTTTTCTGGGTTTTATTGTGTTGACTTCTTTGTTTTCTTTGTTTTACGTCACCGGTGAGTTTAACAGGTTCTTACACCGAGGATGAACCAAAGTTTCAGACTGAGTAAGTGAGTGTGTGCTATCCATTTGATGAGATTATAATTATCAATGGAAATGTTGCATTTTCTAATTCAGGAAAGAGGAGAAATCATCAATACTACAAATCACTACAAATATTAATGCATTAACTCTTTTTGGCTTTAAGTCTGTTTTTTACTACTGCACTTTTACACTGTAGTACTATTTGCACCTCAGCAGATTAGACCACAGAAACTGAGTGCTGAGAAACATACAAAAGATTTATTATGCACACATCCTTAGAAATTTCACAGTTTGGATAACATGTACTTCAAGAAATGGGCATTTTTGGATACATGTTTATAACATCTACAAATAATTTCAATCATTTCTTTAGAAACATGAAGGTGCATGCATTATGAATTTTTTACAAAGCCAGGGATTACAAATATGTTTTATGCCAAAAATTTATCCATGACTCCAAAAATTTCGCACAAGGAGTCATGATCTTGACTCCAACGTAGAGTCATGATATATAAAATTTAATTATTGAGCTAAATGTTAAAAATCTGCCAGGCAAAATGTAAACATTGTTAGATTCCTAATGAAACCACATACAGACGGTTGAAGGAAATTGCAGTCTTGTGGCATCATTTCATCATTTCCTTGATAAATGAAGTTTTCTACAGCTTCTTTGTGTTGATATTCAAGACTGCTAGTTTGTCCACCATTTTGGAACGTCAAACTTGCTGGTCATAAGTTGTCCTTTGTTCATATTCTTCATGTAATAATTGTATTAAGTATCTACCTTCCACATGTTCAAAATGGAGTCTTCATCTTCAAAAAAAACATCTCAGCATTGTATTACCAAAATCCGACAATGTTGACACTTACGACTTGAGATTGGTAACGGTACTTTGATATTGCTATGAACTTATCAAAAAAGGCATTAACTAATATCAGATTGGTTGCATGTACAGGGAAAAGACAAAATGAAAGTTGGTGTATTTATGATGAATCCATAGTCAGTAAAACGAAAGTAAGACAGCGTAACATTCAGTTTTCTTACTTCTCATAAAAAATAAAGTTTTTTAAAATTTTTTAAATCCACATTTTCCAAAATGACTCCAAAATTTGTGGAAAAGGAGTCAAAGTGACTCCAAGAAAGGGAGAATTTTTTTTTTATCACTGCAAAGGACTGGAAAAAATTTTCTCCAATAAAACATAATGTGTATTTATAAGGACAACATGTCAGACTTTATGCATTTGATTATATTGGTTCCTCAAGTAGACCACCTGTTTAGATACCTGTACATCTGTCAATTAGCTATCCTTTTTAATATAATTCAACAACCTTTCAACCAATAACCAACCAACAGAACATTGTCTGTCAAGGATGATTACTACAGTCATGCAGTTGTCTGTCTTTGAGACATGTTAATACAAAGTTCTTCATCTGAACTAGTGCTGTGCTGTTGCATAGTAAGTCTAAGGCCATGTTTGAAAAATTGATTAATAATTAATAATAGAATAGGGTGTTAACTGATAAAATGTCCCACAAAGTTTCTAGAAATTTAAAACACACAATTCTCCAAGCGATTCTCGTGAAACTACTGTATTCTTAACACGATGGATATTAACCACAACATCACATACAGTAGTCACTTATTTTACATTTACCACAGGACAGTTCAGCCATATGCAAACAAAGGAAATAAAATGCATGCTTCAAAGTAGAGCTAGTCACTAAGGTATTAAAGTTCAATATTTGCGACTTAATAGGTATACTTAGTCAGAGTAAAACTTAAGTTGAACTTTTTTAAATTGTTCAAATAATATAGGCAAAGTTGTCATTAAGTGATGAGTCACTGACGTTTACAACGTATTAAATCTTATTAACACTAAAAAAATATTAATATTCCTAAAAATTATATCCAACCAAAATGAGCAATGAGGATGGTAAAGTTCTACGTTGTACAGTAAATCGAAAAGAACTAAAGATCGATATCAAATCTTTAAGAAGTCTCTTTTTCAGATTATGTTGGCTTAGTTTTATCCGAATTCAAAACATTCCGCAAGCTACTTGTTTACAAATATCATTCCGTTTAGCGAATTTTAATTCTTAGTCTTAGAGGTTTAATCTGTTATGGTTTATATATTATCCAAAATTTGAAAACAAAGATTTAATTTATCTTATGCTGGTACTTTTAAAAATTAGCAGAGTATCTCAGAAGAAATCAAGAATCAGAATATGTTGTTGAGAAACACAATATCAAATGAGCTTGATATATTTTTCTTCATAACTGGTGTATTAAAAATACAGGTACCTGTTTTGTCTCGGGCTGCCAAGTCTCTGCCATCTTTTAACTCTACTTCTAGAGAAAAGAATGCACATTTTCCAGCTCTGGCTACATCACCAGCCTTAAAAATAGGATGGATAATGGTATGTAAAGGTTTCATCAATAAAAGCAGGTAAAAGGGAAAACCCTTGAAATTTGAAACCAGGGGAAATTGTCGATGGCATGACAACAACAATCGAGTTCGACGGGCAATCTACAACAAAGGATTCTTCCTTAAGCGTCGATTTGCTCTTTCTTGTTAAACTTTTCTAAAACTAAAAATATGTCATGGCCAACATACCAATGAGCCGGGCGAGACATCTTGAGCGGGACATTCCGTTAAACCTCCGGCCTCACTAGGTGAAGGTACAGGTGCAGCCCCATCTTCTTCGGCACCACCTTTAGCTGGTTGAGAAATATTAAATTGATCAGTACGTTTAACAGCATTCCCATTTATCTGAGCGTAAGACTGAGGAAGATGCGGCATGGAGCTCGATTTGGTGTTTTTCCTACCACGGCCTCCTTTTGTCTTCGAGCGCTTCAGGCTGGAGAAGAAGCCTTTCTTCTTCCCTGTATCGGTGTCTACGAGCAGAAAGTTGCAAGCAAGACACAGTCATGTTAACCACAACTAAATGGAAAAAGTATCGCAAAAGAATATTACATAAATATCGAGAGAAATAAAACCAAATCGAGCTAAGAACCTCGCAGATCCTCGTCCGACATCTTCTCTTCAAGCTTTACTCAGCGCGACTAAAACATGCGCAAAACAACATGCGCAATAAACCCAGCGTCCGCGCTCCGCGACGGGTTTATCACGCGAGTTTGTTTACACCTTTAAATAACAACAAGTAATTGTCACTGTTCTCACTAAAACACCGTTTTATATAGGAATTAGCTTCAACCAACTAGGAAATTTCCTGCCGATACGCATATTTCATGCTCATTCGTTGCTGGAAACAACAAAACCATATAACGTCTCTCTTCTCTTTAAACATTTCGCGTCCCATTCACCTGGGTAGCAGGTTGTAAGTTAAATATGTTATTAATTTTTTATGCGCCAACTGGGAGTTTCGCCATTCCTGCCAAATGCAAAACGAAGCAATTACTTGCTATGTCAAGAAACATTTATCAGTTTATCTCATCTGATACCGTATATATCAGAGAGGATACTGATCGACAAGTATTTTTGAGCTGTCGCATAAAATAAGCCAGTGGATCAAAGAAAGTGATAATGATTTATTCTTAGTCATAGACCACATCAGGGAAACAGCGACGACAAAATAGTTTCAAACAAAATTTAAATACCATTTCATTAAAGAAAGCTTTGTTATGACATTTTTAAAAGCGTAATCATAAAGAACGATTACAAAGCAATCTTACTCACCAGCAAAATGCAAATCCCTAGATCGTAGTTTCCCTATCTAAATTTACGCCTAGTCCTGTTATTTAAAGTTCTCAATTATTTTTTGAAAAGATTCTTTTTTTAAAAAAGGAAGAAATCAATGGAAGTATCATTAACCGTATAAGTTTCCGTGTAGAAATCAATCCTGTGCAGACGTTGAGTTTAGTTTGCACGTTTTATTAATATCATTGTTAACAATGAATTCTTTTATGAACCAAACTCACTATTACATAGCAACTTTATTTAGTTGTCATTTAAATCCAAATCAAATGACTAACTTCAATCAAATATTCTTCATTTCTTTAGACGACAATATAAAGCAGAGGCTATCGTTTCTATCTCAACTGACGTAAAAAAATGTCAGTGATTTTGGATTCAGCGGTGAATCATAAATCATATATTGCCAGTTAAAATATAGATTAATCAGTTCGTTTTCCTTATAAAATTCAGTGGAATAGGTAATTTTTGCCTTTAATTAGCTTAAATTGCAAACGCACAATCGTAATTTTTGATGGGGTTATCTGATCTGGATACTCGTTTCATGGTCCGGAAATATTCAGAGGAAATACTAAAAATAATAGCTGCCGGGTCACTCTCAACGTCTTTATGGATTTCATAATTTCTTCTCAATTCCTATTTTCCCCGATCAGTAGTGCAACAACACTCCCTGCACGAGGAAGCACTACCTTCCTAAAAGAAAAAAGACCGATTTTGTCAGACTTTATCAGACCTTCCCGTGTTGGGCAAAAACTACACGCTGCCGCAATATCGCGAGGTCGCAGTTGCTAACGTTGAAGTTGAAATGCATGGCTCAAATACAAAAGCCGAGCGACACTGACTATGGCTCCCTTTATCTTGGAGGATAAATTAGCTGCGGTTAATTAAATAGGGGCTAGAAAACCCTTATAATTTATACAGTGAATTTGCGTCATATGTAAGTCAAAGTGTTTTTTTTGTTTTGTTTTCGTGCAGAGCATTCTGTTGTAGCTGAAGATCCGGAAGTGGCCCCTTTGTAGAGAGCCGAAGAGGGTTATTATGCAACCAAGTAGGAGCAGGCCACTGTTGATGTGACGCTCTTTTGGAGGTGACCCGTTGCAGATAATTTTTATCGGTGTCAGGATGCTACTAGTAAATACTCGTGTATCCTTTATCTGTTTTGTCTTTGGAGCTGAGTAAAGCAATTAAGGAGATTTTATATGTTTTTCGCTGATAGTCACACACACCAGTAACTGCATACATATTATTAGATAAAGATAGGACTCTATTAAATACAAACTCGCAAACTGCACTTGTGCACTAGGCCGGTACACTAACGAAGCGAGGAGGACAAGCCTAACCAAGATCCTTTCCAATCACGGCTCAATAGGCCATTTGCATGATGGCGTCATTTTACTACTATGACCACAATCCTTTTCGTTTTTCTTTTCATATTGAAATTCGGTAATTCCTGCGAAGTTTAAATAACAAAAGCGCTAATTTGCACAAGAACACAAAACATGACAGAATCCTGAAGGATTCTGCTCGTGGTAATAAAATGACGTCATCGTGCAAATGGCCTATTAGTTATGAATATTATTATAGCGTAAACGCTTGAATTTACAAATGTGTTTATTTATTTGCTTTGTTTGTTTATTTTAGGATTTATTATAACGTTAGACTTCAAAACCTTATTTTTTTGGTCCCCTCGCTCTCGACCGTTCATTTATGATATACACTTGCAGGAGCCTATGACCCTTGACTACACCTTACCGTGTTTAATGTAATAAACTGAAAAAATATCTCTTTCCTCTGCCTTGACGTAAGGGGTCCTTGAAAGATTATTATCGTAAGTATAATCTATACATTTTACACATTTAAGTTTTATTGTCGTGTATAAACTATTCTAATTCACCGGTTACATCGGAAATGACTTCAAACAGTACAGAAGGAAAGATTGAAGCCTGATCTAGCGCAAGATTTTTTTTCAAGTTATGATTGGCGGATGCCGGATCCAATGCCACCAATCATTGCTTATATTATCCACCCAAAAGAAGCTAGAAATCTTTCAACCGCGCGACAGCTAAGTTAACCCATTCTCCTCGCGGCTTTCCGGTCACCTTTTAGCTGGTGGTAGAAATTGAGTGCATGAGATTTCATCAAATGTTCAACGTCAACGAAGCTAGCCATGGGGCAAACACAGTGTAAAAGTGCCGATAAACCTTGCATTCCTTTGATATTGATTATATTACTTATTTCCCCTTTCTTGATAATGCATAGCGGTTGATATTGTCATAGGTAGTTGTCATAGGAACATCTAACATCTGAAACGCTTTATCTAAGATATTCATGACCTGAGTCCAGTGTTTGTAAGAGATGGAAATACCCTAGCCTGCGGTCACAGACGTTTTTCCGGTCATCGCTTCTCTCCACCAGAAAAATAAGAGGTGGAGAGAAGCGACGACCAGAAATAGGTCTGTGTACACAGGCTAGAAATATACAAAGGCTTTCCAGATCAGCTGCTGTGAAATTTTAAACTTGTGCGTAGGTCCCTGAACCTGACCTGCAGCGCGTCTGTTACTTAAGGAACTCTTAAAATATTCATAGAACAGCTTAATAAAACATTTATGATTACATTTAGAAAAGGAGGAAGGCAGGCACGTTTTCTGTTAATCAAGATTTATAACTAGCATGGATCTTATCTTGCAAAATCCTATGCTACTCTTTATTTATCTGGCTTCTCTTTTTCAAGAAGTGCATTTGGGTTTCAACGCTGTTTATATGAAGAAAACTAGTGCAAACATTACGTGCGGAAGTCCACCTGAAGAATTTTTTGAAACACAACAAGGCTTTCTAAGTGCAGTCGAGAGGGTCCCGTTCATTTGCAATGCTAGTGATCCATCAAAAGCATACCCACCAGATAACATGGTGGATAGTTTATTAGGAACACACTGGCAATCTACTGCTGGAGAAGACATTGCTTCCATTACAATCAGCTTTGAACAGGTACCAGGAATAGCAATTAGCACATGTTAAGAAACACATTTGCATATTGTGCATTTCAGTTTTCACCACTGTAATCTGATTCTGATTCCAATATAGGCCTCATTCCCTCATGGTATAGATATAACGACTATAATGATAATTTTGAGTATAGTGAAATAATTTAACTGTGAGTTTAGTGCATCTAAAATGAGTGCAATTATTAAATATCAAACGAATGCGATCCATATATGGGATGATGAAAATGGAAAAAAATACAATTCCAGTTTTTAGAAACAAAACTAAATTTTACTAAATATACTAGAAATGTTTGGACTGCAGTGCATATGCTAGTGTGGCAGTTTAGAAAGTTTGAGATGAATTAGGCAATGTGGCGTACATTGAAATCAACAAATTTGTCTGTAAACACCGCGCTGACAATGATGGATTTACCGTCAAAACGTGCCTTCAGTATAATAACGAACTGTTGTGTTTCTAAAACCTTTCGGGTTTTTTCAGCTTTCTAAGCCTTTTGGAGCATATCACAATCATTCATTTGTCAATTAAAATGAGCCAAGAGGAAGCATGAACATGGCTTTGAACATAACTCAGTTTTTTCAATAATACGTTACTAAGGATTAACTTTCCCAAGACGAGGTCAGTTTTAACATTATCTTTGGGTCGACTCAAGTGATTACTGTTAGTATTTGCATATTATTACTTTTTATTGAAGGCGTTTTTTGCCCAAAACATCGAGATTATATTTGGTAACTACCGGAGACCAGGAGCGATAATGGTGGAGAGGTCAACTGATTTTGGAGCTACCTTTACACCTTGGCATTACTTGGTAACCCCGCCTGCTTCCCGTCAGTGCAGTGCCACGTTTGGAGTCCAGGCTTTTCGGGGCGTAATTGACAGAGTAGACCAAGTTCTCTGCATGGAGTACAGCCGTTATGTTCCCCCGGAATACAATGAAACGGTAGGTTTTCGATTATGGGCTTAAACATCAAAATTTTAGATAAACACTCATGTCAGATACGTCCTCAGACCAAATTAGCCTGTTAAGACTAAATCACAAAAACACCAAGGCCATAACTCCACTTATTAATGAAACTTCCTTCTTCTTAGATATCTATTGAACTCGATCAAAATCAGAGAGGAGATGGTACACCAGATCCTTACACCCCAGGCTTACAGGTAAAGAAAAAAAGAGAGTATACCCGACAGCTATGACTAAAATCAGTTATTTTTTGCTTTTAGCTGGTTTCTTATTCTTTGCTTTTAGCGGTCAGCTACTTGCATTGCTTATAATTGTTTTTCTTTCAGTCCTGGATGAATGCTACTGCAGTGCGTTTTAGCTTTTCGGGCTTATACAGAAAGTTTGATAACATGGCAACAAAATGGGTAAGTAAACCGTGTTACTTATATTTGGAAAGATGGCCTACGCGCATACTTAAAATTCACTACAGTGAAACCCCGCCTTACAACTACCTCGTTAAAACGGTCAGCTCGTTATTACGGCCACTTTTTTTCGCCGCCCGGCAAAACAGCCATATATTTTCTTGTTAAAAAAATCCCTCTTTAATACGGCCAATTTTTGGGCCCATCGGTGACCGCACTAATGGGGTTCCACTGTATCATACTAATGCATCCTTAGTACACATTCACCAGCTTCATAGACTATTTTATTGACTAAAGCGCTGGCTCCTTTTCTTTTGAGATTTTTCTTTGGGATGTGTGAAGTTAACAAGTCATGTTATGACTATAAAGTTTTCTTGTTTATCTCACATGCCATAGCATCATTATACCGTGCGTGAAATTGCTGTAACAGCTCGGTGTGACTGCAAAGGGCACGCAGATGGCAACCAATGTCCGTTAAACCAATCAACAGGCTTACGCTCATGTCAGTGTCAAGGTAACACATGCGGCGCCCATTGTAACAAGTGCTGTTCGCTGTACAACCAGTTCCCGTGGAAACCAGGAAGTGGCGCGCCATGGATAAATGACCCTGCTGCTAATTGCGAACGTGAGTTAAGTTAAAGGGAAAATAAGCAATGTACATTACATCCAGCTAAAAATCTGGTTCAGCCAAAATTGAGGCAAAAAAAATTGTCTTGGTGACCATACGAACCTCGTTTAGCTCCGGGCCTAAAACTCCCAGTAACACCAAAATGAAGCTCGCCGAAAATAAAACAGTTGCCTTAGAAGATCGTGACTACAATCTCTTCAGTGTAAAAAGGTCTCACCCAAACAGTTTAAGCCCTGTGTAAGAAAAGAAAACAAGAAGATTTATTTTAAGGGACTCTGTTTTACACGACAAAGATTCAATTAGCAAAGACAAATAAATATATTTACAAAAGTAATGAATAGAAATTGTAGTATCTAGATAAGGAGCAAGTTGGGATCATCCAAATAGCAAAAGCTAATCTAGTGAATGACCCCCAAAATTCTATTACGCACAGACGCCATGTTGCTAAGGTAGATCATAAATATTTAATTAGTACACAAACACTGATTTCGATTGTTCGCAACTTAATTTTGCAAAACTAGTTTATCCTAAGAGAAATCTTGAATGACTTGAATGGTCCAATTTGGGGTTAAACAGTCCATTTAAATGTTAAATGTTTGTTTAATCGTTATTTGTTCCCGTCTTTAAAGCCTGTAACTGTCATAATCATGCTGGGAACTGTACGTACAATCAAACCGTGAGCGACCTGGGCCTTAGCATGAGCCTAAACGGATCAATGATGGGAGGAGGAGTGTGCGTTAACTGTCAAGTAAGCTGAATTATTTAGCAATTATTGATAACACTGTGTTTTAATATTATTCAAAAAAGAGTCTTACTTCAAAAACATACCTGCCTAGATCGATGCCAAGTTCCTGTCATCATTTGTCTGTTCCCCGTAAAATTCAGAATGTAAAGAGATATAAAGAGAATGTAATGCATATAGTCTTCAAATAACAGTTGTAGTCGGTCGAGTTGTATTTTTGCTGTTCTCTCTACGTTTTGAGGGAAGTAGTTTTTGGCTTTTTCTTCTTCGCGAAACGAGTGAAATTATCCGCAATTTTCTCCAACTCTACAAAAACAGCTGAGCTAACACAAGCTGGTCCCCTGTTTGGTTACCAAGCCTTTTTCTGGCGATAGCTCGCACTACTGAAGTCATTTCATCGGATATCGCCAGCATTGTCCAGCTTTGGCCGACTGCCTATGAAGAATTAGCCAGGGGATTTAATAATCCCACTAAATATTCATTCAAAATCTGATTCTTGTGGGCTGAAATCCCTCGGGGTAATTCTTCATAACTAGCTAGCCTTCACCCAATTTGGGACATGTTTGCCGATTTAAAAACAATTGACGTTAATCATGTCTACTGATGATCTAGTGAGAATTTACAGACGGAGAAAATGGCGGGAGAATAGCAAAAATATCACTCAAATGATGACAACTGCTAAGAATATCTGCCAGGATTTACATCCCTTCATATCCCTATCCTTGCCAAGAAAGAGGCAAACGTTATGAAAAAGGGAACTTTACAGATATCGACGTAAGCATGTTTCAGTCATAACATTCAAAATACTTTGAATATCAAAACAATAATCGTCGACATTCTTTTATGAATTTGAAACTGTTAATTTGGTACAGTGAAATAATTTCACCTGAAATTAAAGAAATTCAAGTTGACTGAGTTGCACTGCAAGCATTACATGAATATTTCGGTTATGTAACAACGAAACTGAATACAAAATAACCGATAGACGGCTTAAACTGTGAGTGTTGTAACTGGACCCAAGTGAAGGTCCATAGTCCAAGATTGGAGGTGGACCTTACCTTGGACCAGCACTATTGGAAGTAGTCTGAACAAACAGTCGCATAATCAGTGACTCAATCAAATAAAATCGGTTCAAGTATATTTGGTTGTTCCGTCGTTGTGCAAAGAGGGAAAAAAACACTTCCAGTTTTAGGAACTTCATCACAAGTCTGTCCGCTGCTGTACTAGACAAACGTCAGAGCATAGCGAATTGGCAGTTTATCTGAGACAACAAAAAATTATTAAAGGAAAAGAAAGTCGATCATTGTGAATTGTTAAGGCTTTTCAAAATATAATATCAATTATGTTCAAAGTCTAACTATACTAATTACATGCTAAAAATATATGTAAAAACATACAGTGATTTACAATACATGATACAAACAGGCAAAGCTGCATCACAGTAGTCAAAGTGTAACATTGCTCTGATACGTTTAAAGTCTAACTATACCAAAATGATGCTAAAAATATAATATATGTAATTCAAGCTATTTACAATACATAAAGCCAACAAGCCAATCATTTTA